CCATATAGAACACATTTTAAACATACGGTGGTCAGTTTAGATTCCAGGAACTATCCTTGATGATCTCTGATGCCATGGAAACAATATACATTTAACATGTAACATGAACCTTTTTTTTTTTTTCCTTTTTATTTTTGGTCCTTTTAAGACAGGGTCTTCCTGTAGCCCTGGCTGCCTGGAACTCAGAGATGGCATGCCTCTGCCTCCCGAGTGCTGGGATTAAAGGCATGCACCACCATGCCCAGCTGTAACATAGCTTCTCTTGGTCATATTTGACTTTGGGGAGTGGCACTGACCAATTGTTTTTTTTTTTTTTTTTTTTTTTTTTGTCTTTTTGAGACAGGGTCTCCCTGTAGCCTCAGCTGTCCTGAAACTCACTATGTAGACCAGGCTGGCCTCGAACTCACAGAGATCCGCCTGCCTCTGCCTCCTGAGTGCTGGGATTACAGGCGTGCGATACCACGCCCAGCTGACCAATTGTATTTTTAACTGGTATTTAGGATGCTCAATGAACATTATACATCCATGAGACCATCTCTGGAAAGGAAATCTTAGCTATATGGCTACATCCTTGGTGCAATAAACACTCTTTTGAAGTTAAAAAATACATTTTATTATTTTTATTTCATGTGTGTGCATATATTGCCTGCACGTAGGTAAGTGCACCTGTGTAGTGCAATGCTCTTGGAAGACAGAAGAGGCTGTTTGATCCCCTGGAACTGGAGTTACGGATAGTTGTTAGCTGCCATGTGGGTGCTGGGATTCGAACCTGGGTCTTCTGCAAGAACAACCAGTGTTCTTAACCACTGATCCATTTCTCCAGCCCCAACACTAACTCTTTTAAACAGTTTTTTGTACCACTCCCCAAAGGTTATTTATTTTGAATCTTAAAATTAAAAATAAAGCAGCTGGTTCATGATGAGTTTTTCCAAGAAAAGCTTCAATATACAAAACCCAGAAGGTTGGCTTGGAATAGTATAGGTAAATACCACTGAATAAATATCAAATGAATAATCCTGACCATTGAGAATTTCTGCCCACTTTCACTTCATGAAGATTCTTTTAAGGCAGATATCTTCATTCATCATGAAGAAACATGCATTGCACAGATAGGTATGGTGATTCATTTCTATAATCCCAGCACTTAGGAAGCTGAAGCAGGAGAATGACAAATTGGCTACATGGTGAGTTCCAAGCCTAGAGTGTGAGACTTTGTACAAACAAAAAAATATATGTGACTTGAACCAAACACTTGGAAAGGTAAAATATTAGAAAATTCTTTCCTCCCTTTCTTGATTTTCTTTTTTCCTTTGCTGCCACCTACTCCTCCTCCTGCTCCTGCTCCTCCTCTTCCTCCCCGCCCCTTTACCTCTCCTACTCCTCAGTCTCTATATATACTTTAGGCTATACTTGAACTCTTTTTTTTTTCTTTAAATCTTTTTTAAGACAGAGTTTCTCTGTAGCCCCAGCTGGCCTGGAACTCTGTAGACCAGGTTGGCCTTGAACTCACAGAGATCTGCCTGCCTCTTCCTCCCGAGTGCTGGGACTAAAGGCATATGCCTTTTTTTTTTTTTTTTTTTTGAGACAGGCTCTATATAGCTCTGACCAGCCTGGAACTCCCTAGGTAGATCAGGCTGGCCTCAAACTCAGAGATCTGCCTGCCTGTTCGTGTGTGGCAGTCAGAGGACAATTTAATGGAGTTAGTTCTTTCCTTCCAACTCAGGGTTTCAAGCTTACATCATCAGGTGGCCAAGCACCTTTAGCCTGTTGTGAGCCATCTCACCAGCCCATTATGTTATATTCTTTTTTAAAAAAGATTTTTTATTTTATGAGTGTTTTGGCTGCATCTAAGTGTACCACATGCAAGCTGTGCTGGTAGAAGACAGTTATCAGCTGAGAACTGAATCTGGATCCTCTGCAAGAGCAGCAAGTGCTCCCAACCACTGAGCAACCTCTTAGCCCATGTTACATTCTCTATGGTGCTGTTGGTTTTGAAACAGGACCTTACCATGTAGCCCCAGGAGGCCTGGAACTCACTGTGTATACCATGCTGGCCTTGAACTCACAGAGATCTGTCCCCCTCTACCTTCTGAATGCAGGGATTAAAGGCATGTGCTACCACACCAGGCATATGTGTTTGTGTTTGTGTTTGTGTGTGTGTGTGTGTGTGTGTGTGTTATATATATGGGCTTAATCTCCTGGTAGATAGGGTTGTTAATTTAGCAAATAAAAAATACAGGATGCCCAATGAGTTTGCATTTCAAATAAAACATGAATAAGTATTTTAGTGTAAGTGTATCCCAAATTCATGCAGCATACTAAACCATAATTCAACCACTCATCTGATATTCATATTCGACTGAGTGAATGCCCTGTTTTGTTTTTTTTTCTGACAATGCTATTTATAGAAAGAAAGATAGTCCAGAGAAGCTGGGGCTATCGTCCAGTGGTAGACAACTTGCCTAGCATGCATAAGGCCCTAGGTTCAATTTCTAGCACTGCCAAAAAGAGAAAATAATCTGTCCAGAATAGAAGTAGGATACTAAAGACTGGGTGGTCCTACATCTCTACCCTGGTTGGTCACTGAATAGTTAAGGAAGTTTCCAGCAAAGCCCTAGAATTGAGCTACCATGTGATCAGATCCTGAGCTATTTTTAGGCTGAGGTAAATGGGACAGTTTTTCCAGGGATTGGGGAAAAAGAGTCATTTTTAAAATTGTGCAGAAGAGTATGTACTGAAGAGGGGACAAGAGGGTGTGTCTTACATATTATTGACACAGAAAAGGCTACTTCAAATACATTATTACTGTGCCCATTTCTCCAACCTTAGGCAAATAAAGCAGGAATAAATGATGGCTTATTAATTCAAAGGAGCCAGAGGGCTCCTGCTTTTAATGTGTAGTTGAGTATGCCAAGAGAGAACTATGAGATGGAAAATGGCTTTGAAATGAATGGCTAAAACTTTTTTGGGGGGGGTAGACAGGTCTCCCTGTAGCCCCAGCTGCCCTTGATCTCATAGAGATCTGCCCGCCTCTGCCGAGCTGAATTAAAAGTGTACACCACCTTTTTTGTTGTTTGGAAACGGGGCCTCCTGTAACCCAGGCCGACCTAGAACTTCTTACAAAGTTGAGGATGATCTTGAACTCCCTATGCTCTTGCCTCTACCCCTACCCAACGTGCAGAGATTACGGGCATGAGTCACCCTATGCATAGTATAAAACTTTTTAAAAGAAAGTGTTACATACTTTCCTATTTAGGGGATTGATAGTCTATTAAAATTTCTGGATTTGGTGACCTTCTATTAGGTTTAGCAATATATGTTTTGAATATGCACTTTCTTTTGTTTTTGGTCTTTTTGAGACAGGGTCTCCCTGTAGCCCCAGCTGTCTCACTATGTAGCCCAGGCTGGTCTTGAACTCAGAGATCCCCCTACCTCTCCCTCCCAAGTGCTGGGATTAAAGGTGTGCACCACCATGCCGGGGCATAAATATGCACTTTCAAATGACCTACTTGCAAAAACCAAATAGACATGGTAATTTTGCATGATAGGCAAACCTCTTCCATGTTCAGCCCATCTTTAAGAATTTCTTTAGGCTGGGTGTGATCTTTATGAGTTCAAGGCCACAAGGCCAGCCTGGTCTACATAGTGAGTTCCAGGACAGCTGGGGCTACAGGGAGACCCTGTCTCAAAAATAAAAAAAATAAATAAAAAGAATTTCTTTAGGCCATCTTTCAGCAGTTGTATTCAATCATTTCTGTACCATATCTGGTTCCAAGGATGTAATCCTGCTGAATTAGAAGGGCAAAACTGACACCTGCCTATTTTAGGAGCTAATTATCACTAAATGACAGAGGATAGTTTCTAGGAAAAAGTACATTAAAAAGGGGGACTTTCAACTGTACCTGGTAAAATTCCAGGGCACTTACCCAATTTCCTCACTGGGGTCAACTTGGTGACTCACAAGCTACTGAAAGACAGCTACTTCTGGCCTGTAAGGCAACTGCTGGTTGGTTAACAGCTGTATAACCTCAGGGCTCCACACTCAAGACCTCTGACCCCAGTTCTATCAAAGAAACAAGAGATTACAATGTTCCTGTAATGCATCTTATGATTTGCAAATGCATCTGGAACCAAAGGACTGTGGGCTTTCTCAATTTGATTTTGGCAATTTTCTTCTTTTTTGGGGGGGTGAGGAGTTATTAGAGCTGGAAATTTAACCCTGGCTTCAAGCAGGCTAAGCATTCATTCTAACACAGTTACAACTCCAGCCTCTTTTCACCCCTCTCTTCGCTCCTTCCCCTATGTACCACTCTGTTGCCTTATCAGACTGAACAGTTTTGCCTGAACAATCTTTTTTGTTTTAACCAAAGGGTTTGGGGGAGAATTATAAAACTGAATTGAGGGCTAGAAGGGTAGTGGGGTAGTGTTAAATTTTTCCGGGGGGGGGGCAGGTGCACTGACACATAGACCCGGACGTCTTCCAAATGTCCAGTCCTAACTCCAGGTTCTCACTTGGCCGCTCCAGGAGGTGGCGAACTGAGCGCCGAGGACCGAGCGGCTGCCCCCGCAGTCCTTCCTCCACCTCTTCGTCACCTCGGGCCGCATTTCCCCCACCCGACGCTGGGCCTGCAGGCAGCGTCCCACCTCGCCGGGGTAGGCGTATGAGCCCGGAGCCCGGCCGCCACTCTGGTTGTTATGCGTGTTCAACTTCACAGAGTGCGGCGCGCCGGGGATGCACCGAGGCCGCCGTCCAGCGCCAACCGCGCCAGAGACGCGCGAAGCAGCCGCCGCCGGCGGTCATTTGGCAGCGGCGCGCGGGGGAGGGGCAGCCGGCGCCCGCGTTCTCCCAGCTCCGGCGACCAGCGGAAGGGCCCCGCACCGCGGAAGCGCGACCGCAGCTGAGGATCAGCTGCTGGAGGAGGCGGAGAGGCGGAGGGAGGAGCCTAGGGGGAGGGAAGGAGAGGGAGGGCCGGGGCCGCGAGCGAGCCGCCAACGCCACCGACCGTCTGCACACCTCGCTCCGTCTGCCATGGCTGGTTAAAGACGCCTGGGGCTCGCCGCGCACGGGGAGGGCCGGGAGGGGACGGCGGCCGGGCGTGCGGCCGAGGGAGGGGCGGCGGCGCGAGCGGCGGTGGCGGCGGTTCCAGCATGAAGAGGAAAGCTGGCCTGGGGGGCAGCATGAGGTCAGTGGTGGGCTTCTTGTCCCAGCGGGGCTTGCATGGGGACCCCCTGCTCACTCAGGACTTTCAGAGGAGACGCCTGCGGGGCTGCAGAAACCTCTACAAGAAGGACCTCCTCGGCCACTTCGGCTGTGTCAATGCCATTGAATTCTCCAACAATGGAGGCCAGTGGCTGGTCTCAGGTAAATCAACCCCCTTCCTTCCCCTTCCCGTCCCCTTCTTCCCCCCCCCCGCCTGCCTTCCGTTCCCACCGCGGTGGGAAGATTGGGTGTGAAATTAAAACCCTTGCAGGGGGAGGAAGGGAGGGAGGAAAGGAGGGGAAGGAGAGGATGTCTTCTATTAAAAAAAGACCTAAAATGGTTGACAGGTCCTTAATTCGCTTTATCCCAAGTGCTGAGCGGTCTCTCCAGATGACTAGCCTGCGAGTGTGGGTCCGGGAGGGGGGCGAGGTTACAGCTTGACTAAGTTGGATGGCAAACTCTTCCTCCGCGGAGTTTAAAAGGTGCTGGGGGCATTTGGGGGCTTCGCAGGGGGAGGAGGCCGAGGCGGGCCCGACGCCAGGGGAAGCTCTAGCCGCCGTCCTCGGTGCGGTGGAGAAAAGGGGCCTTGGGGCCGGCGGGTGACAGGGCCCAACGCCCAGGGCCGGCGGGGTCCGGAGGGTGGTGACCGGCTGGCGGGTCGCGGTGAGGCGCCCTTCCCCCGGGCTCTGCGGGCCCAGCTCCATCTCCCTTCAAGCCGTGGTGGCCTCTTCCGCGTCTTGTTTTTATTAATGGTTCCGAGCGCGGTGAGGGCTCTGGAGATCGAGACACACCAGCCTGAACTTGAATGCGCAACTCGAGACGTTGAGAGGTGCCGACGACCCCCGAGAGACTTGTTGGCGGGGGCCGACGTCCGCACCCTCTTTTTCCGCGGTTCCTGTTGCAGGTGGTCTGCTCGTCTCTCCCCCCCCCGCCCCCCACTCGGGCCCTATTGGGCCTGTTTGCCTCCAGGGTCCCTCCCACCCCCTGCTCGGGGGTGGTGAAAGTGGCGAAATCGAGGCCGGGGCTCTGGCCCGGCGTTGTAGGCCTTGCTCTCCCGGGGCTCCTAGCGACAGGCAGCTGAATCGATGGCCTATTGCTCCCGGGGAGGCTTGGCCCGAGAGGACTGCGGCGCCTGCTGCCCCCCCCCCCCCGCGGAGTTTGTGTGCCGCGGTCGGGGGTGCTCGCAGCTTCGGGTGAGCACGGGTGGGGTCGGACGTTCGCTGGGGAAGGGGCGGCTCCCCGAAACCCGGCTCGGCGGAGAAGGGCCCAGAAGAGACCGGGCGTTCCCACTCGCCTCTTCTGCTCCTTCGGCCCTCTTCCTACTTTGCGAGGGATGGAGGGGGAGCCCAGCCCCGGACGAGGCGCTTAACTTCACCCAGGTAGATCCCTGAAAGGCTAATTTACGTCAGCGGGCAGCTCGCCAGAAACTTCGGTGATCTGGCAAAGCATTTGTCTTTGCAAGTAACAGGCGGAAGAGACACCATGTATGTAGTCTAGTTTGAGGGGAGCAGAGATAAGACATCTGTGATTATTTCACGATAAACCTGGGATTTCTCTAGAACTTGCCGACTTTCCACCCGATTGTTTTCTGACTACAGTTTGGGTGAGCTAATATCCCCCCGAAGAAACTTGATATTCCACTTCAAGGCAGATCCTTCAAAAAAAAAAAAAAAGTCAACTTTCTGCACACCACAAATAGAATTTTAACTAAAACATTTCAAGGAGCACTTTTAAAGGCGCTCCTAGTTTTTCTCCTACTGCTGCTTCTGTGTCAGTAGTATTCTGTCTTCTGAGATTGAGATATTACAACGGAGATGTTCCTAGGCAGTCAGCTTTACCTAATGAATGAGGGACTATGAGGATACTCTTACACTTGAACTCATTAATCATAACTGCTCACAAGTTGCCCAGTTTAACACACTTTAAAAATAAACCTGAAACATGTGCATAGGTAAAATTCATTCAAGTGAATACATTTTACACTTGATCTTAGACAAGACACAGAGTTGATAAATACTTTTTAAAAAGCACCAGAAGGGCCTTAGCTCGAATTTTACCCCTGATCTGTACCCAAAACTTGCCTCTCCTTGCCTTGAAGGTCTTAGTGTATGTGTATGCATATTTTTTGAGACACTGCCTTGCTCATGCCTTCCTCTGTAACTTAGGTGAACCCCATTTTCCCTAGTCTTGGCGGGTGCCTTTCTTTTATTTTTTTATTTTTATTTTATTTTTTTTGAGTCTTGTGTAGCCCAGGCTGGCCAGAACTCAGTATATAGCTGAGGATGATCTTGAACTCTTGATCCTGCTGCTCTGTCCCCCAAGTACTGGGCTTCTAGTGCCTATTTATTTATTTATAATTAATTAATTAATTAATTTTTTGGTCTTTTAGACAGGGTCTCCCTGAAGCCCCAGCTTGGAACTCATTATGTAGACCAAGCTGGCCTGGAACTGCCTCCCCAGTGCTGGGATTAAAGGCATGTGCCACCATGCCTTGCTGTTTATTTATTTTTTGGTAATAACTCTGAAGAGTTAATTTGGAAATAACTCTGAAGCCCAGGCTGGCTTCCAGCACTAAGCAATCATACCTCAATCTCCAGAGTGCTGGGATTATAGGTGTGAGCCACCATGTCAGGCTCTTAGATTAAATTTATACTGTAGAAGATGAGGGTCATTTTCATAGGGCAGGCTCCAGTTTTAGGTATTTATTTCTTTTTCTAGGCCTGAGTTTTACCCATCTCCAGTAGTAAGTACTTCCTGGGTTCCAGCCCATTTCTCCTCCCCCCTCCCCCTACACCCTTTTAGCACAGTTCTTCCTGTTTCCTTTTTATCTATTCCTGCTCTTGTTCTTGTCCTTCCAGCAGGCATTTCCATCGGCCCCTCTAGCTTTGACACAGAAGCCCCCTTTGGGAGTCATAATGCACTTTAACTTGTTAAAGCTAGTTAAAGTTTTTCCCCTGAAAAGTTCTTAAGTGATCTTCCAAAGTTTAAAACTATTCGTAGTTATTTACATTTTTTCCTTTGGTTTATTGAGACCAGGGTCTCATAGCTCAGGCTCATCTCCAGCCCACTTTGTAGCAAAGGATGAGCTTGAGTTCCTGATCCTCTCCTGCTTCCACTTCACAGGTTTGGAGTTATAAGCACGAGTGCATCAGCCCTTTATATATTCTTTCTTATCCATTACTGTCTCATTATTAACAATTAACACTTGAACAGAGAAACACATACTTTTTTTTTTTTTTTTGTCTTTTTTGAGGCAGGGTCTCCCTGTAGTTCCAACTGGCCTGTAACTCACTATGTATATCAGGCTGGCCTTGAACCCACAGAGATCCACCTGCCTCTGCCTCCTGAGTGCTGAGTTTAAAGGCGTGCACCACCACGCCCAGTTCAGAGAAGCATATACTATTTTGAGGCTAATGCAGCTAACTGCAGTAAACCACAATAGTATTCGCAGTAGTCTGGTGGAATAGCAGACTCTTGCATTGTAGTATGATTTCTTTTGTGCATTTTGTTTTTGAGTCTTTTCTGGAGGTAGAAGTCCTTAGAGAATGGCAATTCTACTGATGGACTGTACATCGTTAATTGTTTGCATTTACTAATTGAGCAGGCTCACATTTCTTAACATATGATTTGATAGAATTAGATGACTTAGGGTAAACATATTTGTATGATTCCTGTGGCCATATAAAGTATTATCAGTTAAGGATAGATCACTTTTCTGTCCCATCAGCTAGCCTCTCTTCAAAGGTACAATGAAGCTTGCAGAAATTAAGAGTAAACATGAGAAACTCAGGACAAGAAAGGATGTCTGCTAGAACAGCAAGTAAGAGAACAGTTTGACACTTTAAATTATGAAAACTGGCCATGGTAGCCTGTAATTCCAGCCACTTGGGAGACTGAAAGTGGTCAGTGTGGGCAATTTAGCAAGAGCCTGTGTTAAGGGGGAAAAAAAAAGAGGCTAGGGATGTAACTTAGCTCTACAGTTGTTGAATGACTGGCCTAGTATGCAAGGCCCTCTGGTCAATTCTTCCAGTGTGGGATATACACACATACCCCTTGAACTCCAATCCTCTTCTTCCACCTCCCCAGTGCTAGGATTACATTTATGTATGCGTGTCACTACCATTGATATTAAGGAAATTTTAAATATTTTAATGTAAGAAGTATTTTTCTAATTTATTGTTGACCAGAAAATGGTATCACTGTAATACTATACAAAACAGTGTGATATAGTGGACATGTTAAAATCATTGGTAGGCCACTTACATGAGACCTTAGTCAAGTTACTAAACCTCTCTGTGCTATTTTCTTGATCTGTACAATGGGAATACCATGGCCTACACAAGGAGTTCTTGTGAGAGCTGAACAGAGTACAAGCATCTCAGAATGAAACCCAAGTTTGTTTCTTAACTTTTGGGGCTTATATAGTGTCACTTATAGTTACCATTTGTTACACCGTTGGTAATAGACCTGTGCAAATTGAGCAGACAGTATGCTTGTTAAGACTCTGTTGCTGCTGCTGCTTCTGCTTCGGTGCTGGTGTATGGATTGACTTCAAGGCCTGGGCACACTAGGGAGGTGCTCTGCCACTGAGCTACAACCTCAGCCCTGTTTTTGAAGTAGTTTCACTTTATATCCCAGGCCAGTTTTAAACTTAAGCCTTATGCATTAGCCTCCAAAGTGCTGAGGTTACAAGCCTGGCTAGTTTTAAGACTTTGTGACGAGGCAATGTGGTGTGGAAAGCACCTGGGATGTGATGCCATGTAATTTGAGCTGGAAGTTCTAAGAGTCACAGAGTGTGTGAATTTAGGTAAATTACTTCATTCTTCATTCATAAAATGAGGGTAATAGGTTGCCCTAACTACCTGACAGATGTTAGTGAGTGGTCAATGAATTCCTGTGCATAAAAGTGCTGGGCTAGGTTGTAATTCAGTTAACAGAGGACTTGCCTAAAAGGAACAAAGCCCTGGGCTCCATCCATCCCCAGCACCACATACCTGGCATAGTGGCATAGTAATTCTAGCACTTGGGAGCCACCTCTAAGCAAGAGAATCACAAGTTCAAAGTTATCCTTGGCAACACAGTGCGTTTGAGGCCAGCCTGGGTTACATTGGTCCTTCCCTGAAAATAAAAGTGCTTTATAAACTTTAAGTGAACCTTTTTGT